GGCGTAGAGTGTGAAGTGATCGCTTTCATTGGGAAGGCTTCGTGGTGCCCTGTTTTTGCTTGGTCGAATGTAGTTCGAAACTGATTGCTCTTGGATCAATGGGTTGTGCAATCTAAAATGATGTGGGAATAACCAGACGATCGCGGACAATCAAAACGAAGTGGTTCTTTAATCTCCGGTCACTTTTAGAAAAACTTGGTTTCGTTTCAGAAACCTCTAAAGCTAAATAAAAAGGATTTGAGAGGGCATAAGGAAAAGCTACACGACTACCGTGAATGACGTGATTAGACGAAGTGTGTCAGAGACTTCAAAATCCTCCCAATCTGATTTAGGGAAGGTACAAGAGCTCTCCTAATCGTATGTAAATAAGAATACACTGAGAGAAGAACACATTAGTAGAAACGATAAATGGGATATAGTTCTGATTCTGATCGAAGTAAAAAATTCCGTTCGTACGATCCATACCACTGACTGGTACGATGTTGAGAATGAACTAACGAACGGGAGGCAGTAACAGTAATTACCGTAGTGGATCTTCCGTGTCATGGGAAACAATTTTATCCTGTGAAAATTCTCAGTTGTCAGTCATGTATGACACCAAGAAGATGCAGTGAGAAAGTAAAATTCGGATTTGACTTTCTGGGCATTTATGAGGAGAGTACCAACAATACAATTTTCTAACCAAAGAAGATTTCGATTCTCTCTAGCTACCCCAACTCAATGTCCATTTAACCTCACACACAGAGGCTGAAAATCATGGTCACTCTTTCATTTTATTCAAACACGGGATCGATCAGATCACAACTCAGATTTAATTCGCAGCGTTTGTTTGCATGTGATGCCCTGTGAACTGAGATGGGTATGTGAGAAAAAGAGTTACACACACGGTGCTTACTTTAGTTTACCTAATAGCGACTGCCACTTGGGTGAGGACAAGCCAGCTTCATGGATTTCCCGAACGGCCGCTTCCCATGCTCGGCGGTCTGTGGCAAGATCAGCGCAAAATATGATCCAACTTGACTATTTTGGCTGTCAACAGTAAACTTTGGTGAGTGGAAAACGGTGCGGATAAATTTTTTGAAAACTTCAATAGGACACAACAACGTAAAAATGAAGGATTTTGCATTACCTATCAAAAGCCTTTGCATCCATGTCCAAGTACATAAACTTAATGGTACTTCAAACCTTTGGAATGAACTTGAAAATGCTCTAGTTGATATAGTGGAACAAAACACAAGTTCTTACATGGAACAAATGCCGAGGAAAATGGAATCTAGGGGAGTACTTTCATCGGATTTCGTGGTCTCACTTTTCTTGAAGAAAATAAATGTATCCCACAATGATGTTTTTGGGATGTTCTGAAAAATTGTTTTAGGATTGCTCGCCACAAGAATGCTGTTCGCGCAGGAACTCGATCTGCATTGGTCATCTGTGCCTCGAACTCTCCAGGCTTTCCCCCGTTTGGTTTTCTCCACATAGTTCCCGAACTGCTCTTAACCCTACCCTGATTTTCCGCGATGTTTACCAAACGAAATAACTCAGATTGATCAATTTTGGTCTGATGATGACACTACCCATTACCATGTACAGAAACGAAGTGAAGCGAATTTCGGTTGTGACTTTTCTGGCCTGATTTATGCCAGAGAATGTGCTGCAGCGAGTTCGAAATGCTATTAACCCAGAGCGGGCTCCTGTCATTAAAGTACACTTTGAAGCTCACCATGCATTTTTCACGATTCCGGCGCGCCTCTGATTTGTCCGGTGAGGATCTGTTGTGCCATAATCAACATCCATTATCAAAGTCATAAGTTGTGATTGAGAACACTGATACCTCAGTTGTTGAAACAGAAAAATGACACGTTTCAAACACATGGGAATTGGAAAAAAAACAATACTCGCCCACAAAATCCTGAGAAACAGAATGAGCAAGATTCCTGGTAAAAACTATCGATTTGAACGATCCACATCGGTGTGTCTTGAAGAATAAACGTGGAAATTCGGACACCTAGGGTAGTGTTATTAGTGCCCTGATAGGCACATTCACTATAAAGTCTCAGATCACACCCGTCCAATGTAAACATGAACATGCACTGGAGGAGCTCATGTCTGAGTAAGTGTGGTGAGTGAGCTCTCCGAGATGACCCCCATCAAGTGCCTTCGAGTTCCAGTATTTAGACATCGGGACTTGGACTAACAGTATCGATCGGTCAACAGCCAGACAGTTCGAACAGAAACCGTGTGACTCGAAGAAAGAGGACGGCGATTGGTTGATATTCGTTTAACCAATACCATTTCTATATGCTTATTATTTAATCCCATTGATTTCTTTCAATAAATGAACCGCTAATTCTGTGGTCTTTTTCCTGCATCTCGGTGACGGGAAATTGTAAATTACAATTGCTACTTGGATTCTGTGCTTCAGTTGCGATCACAATTCGTGATCCGTAATCCCTATCTATTTTGATTACTTCACTGAATTACAGCGATGATCCTAGCTGACGTATCTACTCATTATTGGGAGTTAATAGATGTACTTGGCAATTACCTCAATGAGGTCCTTCAAGGTTTACTTGTGGAAGTAATGCGTTTCTTTGTTACCCTTTGTTTTGTGAAGCATGTTAATAATACATTGTAAGACTTTGGGTATGATCCCGGCTAGACATATGTCACCTATGGATTACGTGACACACATAGATGCGCGCTAAACTTCATCGTCACGTGCCACTACGATTTCTTGTTCGAATCTGTGGAGCATTCTTTTGGTAGTGCTCAAGCTGTGTAACGAGCGCACTGATTGTTTTCGGAGATGTTCATGTAATTCTCAGAGTGGACAACCTGATGACGGAAAATAGAATTTTTGTTTCAGCTAGAATCACTGAACTTTGCAAAGAATACAGCTAGTCTCGTGATGCATTCACGTGACACTGAAAAGGTTTTGTCAAGCCAGATGAGTCTGACCCCAGCGTCCATCTGAACATCACGTTGAAAAATGTAATGGAACACTTGTGTATTTTTCTCGAAAGATCCCCACTGTGCCGAATGGAACGAACAGTGCGCAATAACATTCATGTTCTGAATGCTCGGCAAGTGTAGTATATTTATCAGTGATTTGCGAACACACATGGTGTTTGGGTAACAACAATAACAGCAAATAGTGACAGGATTGGGTTGGAGAAGAACAGAATCAATTGGAAAACAAACCGTTCCATTTGATTCAGAGAACAGGACTGACAACGTTTTTTGTTTCACCGTGTCTCTCTTAATATTTTTCTGTGATAATTCCATACCATATCTCCCGGCGTCCCTAACCGACAACAATCCTCATTCCTTTGAGCACTAAACTGGAAGGCGGACTGCACCTGCCGAAGCCAAAGCTGCAGCTGGCTTCTTTGTAATGTTCCGCTTTCATGGTCTGACTACCGCAACGTTTCTTCCAGTCTTGCTCAGCACGTGGAAGCAGAACGGGAGTAAGTAGACGATGAGCAGGACTAGGAACCAGTCTAGGAACGCAACTTCAACTATCTAACTGAGAGCCATGGTAACGCCAGCAAGACCCGAAGCCGCAGCCTCAGGATTTACTAACGGTGTAAGTGAAACTTCGCAGTTTGGTTTTACGGGGACATATATTTTATATTGGTGCTGGAGTTCTGAATGTGAGTTTCTTAGACACGACATACATCGCTGGTTAGGGTTACGATCTTGCTAATTAAACACGCTTTTTCCTATATGCATTATAATACCCAATTTAAATGTGATTATTTTGAACGGGCATCAGAAGAAGACTGTGAACATGATACGTGAGAGAGCCCTGCGCACTCCTTCAAAACAGTTGGATGTAACCCATATGGTTTTGACACATTTCTGTCGGATCGGTCACCCACGGAATAGTGTGAGGAATGGGGTTTGGGTGGGTGGGGTGAATCAAACTTTTGAGCAGACCTGGGAATAGCTGGTCCGATGCATCCAATGTTTATATCTTCTATATCCACAGACGAAGAGCTCTCACTGATAGAAGAACCGCAAAACTGTTTAGGCATTCGCCAGGTTTCTGGAGCGTCTTTTTGAAAGAATGTGTTGGGCATAAATAAACTTTAGACGGTGATCTATATTCTTGATGGACTTTTATCGGATGTTCATCAAATGATAGTCTTCAGCTTTAAGCGTGCATTCCTTTTCTCGACTTAATTGTTGCAGAAGAGAAGACAGACTAAAACATTTGGATAAAGCGTTTCTCATGGATAACAAATGGATAATTTGAGATAGTCAACTAAATAAAGACAGAAAGTAGGTATATTAGAATCGAAAAATATGGAAAACTTCTGTCTCAGCAACTATGTCCCTGAGTTTTCGAATATTTTCGGGGCAACATTGTCGTCTGTGGACTATATGGTCTCAGCCACAGGCAAACGTTTGTAGTTAGGCGAGCTGAAACTTTAGGAGAAGTCTTAATAACAACGTGGTCAGAGGACCCAATATGAATACGTCATAAAACTGAAAAAAAATGTTATGGTTGTTTACAAACAATAGATCATGAGTAGCGTTCGTCATCGTTTTCTTGTCGAGTTCAATGTAACTACTTTAAATGGGCATCGGTGACTAAAAGAAGGTGTTTCGGTTGGTCGTCGATATAAAGGCGGTAATACTTTAACGTTGCACTTTTCTTACAAACAGAATAGACGATTATCTATTCAATGTACATATTCATGAACTTCGTCCAGATAGATGTTGCGTGGATAGCATTGCATTAGTTCGAAGGACATTCGTTCAGAACAACGGTTTTTATTGTCAGTTGGAAAACTATAGATGGTCACATGCTCTAGTATCATGTGTTTGACCAGCCATGTGAACCATCACATTTGGGACTACTGCCCGGGTCGCCTGAACCCTCACTTGAACCCACAACACACGATGGGTTCAGTGTATAAAACGGGCTGTCTAGCGATAGTCGACCACTTTGCTCATCGCAGTCCCCGGGTCTGTCAGACCATTTAAAAGTAACCATGCCACTTACCACGTATTCACCGGCGGATAGTAAGACTTTACTGGCACGATATTACGATCTGCCACAACCGGAAGATCGCATACAGCTCATGTATGTGTGGATCGATGGGACTGGTGAGCATTTGCGATGCAAAACCATGACTGTGACTGAAGAGCCGAAATCTGCGGAAGGTAAGTCCCAGTGCCAGCCTTGTCATCAATTTGATGGACTAGGTTTTCGTCACACACACACAGGTAGGGCGCGGTAGTAATCACGTTGTAACTAAACTCGATTCAAAACATCCGTATGCAATATCGCCCTCTGAGTCGTGCTTGATGCAGAAAGAGTGATTGCTGTCAAAAATCCAACCACGGACAGACGACGAGTTGCTAGAAAGTAGGTTGTTTCAGTATTGTCCCACAGGCACTTGTAAGTGGGTAGGTCGTGAATACACTTCACTAACAAACACATTTAACGCTGTCTTGGGGAAGCAAATAGTGTTCCACATCCAAATTTGGAACGGATGTCTTTGAAGAAATTGGGCGTCTTGCTCATGGTATTAGATCCGTATAGGAATGTTTGGATTGGCCACGGCGAGAGAAAACCAAAAAACAACATTTTTTCGGTTGACAACGTTTTGACCCTCTTGGAATACCTTTTGTCAAGTCAACTGAATTGACTTGAAAAAGGTCGAAACGTTGTCAACCGAAAAGTGCTGTTTTTTGGTTTTCTCTCACCGTGGCCAATCCAAACATTCCTATACGGATCTGAAAACAAATAGTCCTTTGCAAACGGGAAGTGTTCACTCGCCTCAAAAGCTTCATCTGTGGTTTTGGCCATGACTCCTCGGTTCTTTGTCAATTACGGTGTGACTCCATATGAAACAACGCAAGTTTTGAGAATAGGCTGATACTGGCATTACTAATAATAGTGACAATCATAATATTATCAATAACGATAACCTTGATAGTAAATTACCGAATGGCTGTAGGATGCTAATAACAAGCAGGTAATTGAGAATGAATGAGTTTCAGTGATCGGTGAGGATCTTGCGAACGTACCGTTTACCAAAATGAATCAGTGAAGAAAGAGACCATAAAACGGTGTGAAACGGAACTATTGAAGACTTAGTCTTGATTAAGAGCTATTGTCGTATTATATAGTGAATGTCGTCGTGTACGGAGCAAATGATACGTGAACTGAAAAGCTGAGAAGCAATGGACAGTTGTTTTGACCTGATTGACTCGATTGTGCAGCAGCACGTCCCCGTGGTAGGGATGCGCGAAGCAACAGAATGTGTACCAAGTCTCTTTTGGGCTGAGCCGTCAACTGACAGGAGGTTCTCCATGGAGACGATTAGTGTACAGTCTGCAAAAGAGGAAACGTACAAGCATCATGAACCCAATGTTCAATGAAACCTGAACACGAATTACACTCAAACTGAATGACAGAATGCCAAGTTCCGTACATACTCGATTCCTTCCAATGTGGTCGTGAAGCAAAAGATAATCATGGAAGGAGTGCAACAACCAAGCGGTAAAGATGTGAACGATTTTTTCACAGGTACTGGTTATACTCCAAGAGTGTTCAAGGGCATATGGTTTGTTAATACTGAGCTGCTTCATGCAGTATTTTGCTCACACCGTATTATGACGAGTTGCTAATAACAGTGAAATTGGGGTGAAACTGTGAACGAAACTAGAACAAAATAATCTCCGCCGGTTTGAGATATATAAGTAATGCTTCCATCATCATCACAATACTGTGATTATATTGGAGCGGTTATTTATCACTCAGTGCCAGCTCAATTGGGTTCGAGATGAATAGACCAGATCAGACGATGAAAGGGGATGTTGTGGATCTGAAATTTCTGGACTTATCGAAATCTCGAAGTTTTGTTACAGAAGCTCTACAATTACAGTGTTTGAGGTTTCGTGCTTGATTGGATTCGAGTATTGCTCCAATAACGGATCATATCATTTAGTGTTTCTGATTTCTTATCCGGCGCTATCAACGTTACCTGCGGTGTACCACAACAGCCTGCATTTGTTCCCAGACCTCATTATGCATTATCTCCTACGCGGAACTATTTGTGATATTATCATTTCTTTGCCAAGAAATAATCCAATCGTGTGAGTATTCTGTGGTGTCAAGAGAATCGCGAGCTTGTAAGTAATTCTCATAGTTGAAATTTGACTTCGATTTTGACCAACGTTCAGTATGCATACATATATCCCACTAGTCACTGTCGCATCGGACTGAAAGCCAAGTGTTCTAATCGCATCACTGTCCACCCGCTTTACAACCGGTGCACGATTCCAGACCCCAATTGTTTTCGGTTTTAACAGACTTATATATTCTTTGCATCTCAAGTGGTTAAATCGAAGCTGTAAAATGCTCATTGCCATTGGTTTTATCTCTCCTCAGGTTCCCTTTCTCTTATGTGGATAAAATGGTTTTCGAGATCACCATGCAAGCAGAAAAAATGTCATATGGTAGTCCTGTGAGAGTTATGTACGTGTCTCAATTTCGTGCATAATAGCATCAACAACCGGTATTAATTCATTTCGAAAATATTCCGAAGATTACCTATGAAGAAGCGAGTGATTCGCCTAGCAAGCGACTGAATGGACGGTTTTCATACACAAGATACTGCACATCCAGAATTTGCCAGCTAAATATAATCCACCCGGTTCATTAAGTTTAACCGTAGCCTTCCTCTCAAAGTTATGATTCCATTAGCAGCATCCCAAGCCTCTTTTATCTTCGGGAAGCCTAATCATCTATTCAGTGATCAGGTGAATCCTGCTCTTCCTCTCAACTAGTGAAGTTAAGATTCTATTCCCTGTAGGATAAGTGATTTGGCGCTACTGGTTATTTATATTTGATCAGGTTAGAACATATGTGTGACGCTTCCAAATTGGTTTTGTTTAGGTTTTCCTTGCTCTGTAAACAATAACAACAAGAAGCCGCGTTGTTTTTCAGCTGAGCATAATCTTCTGTTAATTACACCAGTAAAAATATTGTATTGAGTAGTTGCTCTACCGAAGCATTTCATTCGCATTAGTAACTAATGCGCGTCTCCGCATCCATTTTGACTCCATTATCTGGCTTCATCTACTCTCTCTATAGATTGTAGCATATGGAACTTTGATGGCAGCAGTACAGGTCAAGCAGAGGGTTCGAACTCGGACGTCTATTTGAAACCGTGTGCTCTGTTCCGAGACCCGTTTCGTCGTGGAAAGAACAAGCTGGTTCTGTGCGAAACCTACACGTACGACATGAAACCACACGGTGAGTATATTTGCATTGAACGTCGGTCGAGATATCACATTTTGTGATCAGCCCATCAACAATTGAAAATAATAGCGGTCAACTGTAGTTGGTTCATCACTTGAGATTCAACGTACAGTTTGTGAATCGCTTTTGACAAATCGAAAACCAAACCTCTTGAAGTGCGACAGGATGGATCATTTCGTAAGGAAATTAACCCGTTTTCCATGTTGTTCCTCATGAATCACGTGCACACTAACCTCATACTTTGTGCAAACTGTGACCAAAAATATGGAGCAGAGCACAGTGAGTGTTCAAAAAGACAGTAGGACGTGAGTAAGTTTGTGGGGCGGGCGAGGGGTGTAGAAGAAAGGGTGTGAAGAAAGATAAACGTATGCCACATTGCATCCTGTCCAATTGGTTGAAGATTTATCCATTAACACTAGGCCTTTGGTGATTTGCATGCACCAAACACCTGTTTGTTTGAGTGTTTCGTGTAGCATACCAGAACATAAATATTAAAACACGATACTTTCATTTAGTGTTTGTTGTTGTTGATTGAATAAAACAAGGAAATAAACTGTAGATTATGCACCAGATTCTCAACAAACCGGGTTTCAGATTTTATATACGTGGATTTCGCATGAATGTATTAGTTTGGGACGGAACGTGTTTCAATATTCCACGAAGAGTCAAAACCGTATCGTTAGTCACATCAAATGCGTAAGAAAATGACGGAAATATCAGGTCCACAACCACCTAGAAGTCTAAACAATTAGACACATAACTGAATGATTCGCTAGACCGATATGGAGGTATGACAAATACCCACTAAACCTGAAAGCATACTTTTATTATACAGAAGAGAAGAGAGCATGAGATCACGCCTCGTGGGAACATCTACTATGGGAGGTTGGGAAAAACGGATACCGTGTATGAACCGCAGTCGGATCGGGCTGAACACGAAATGGGTTTTGCTAGCTTTCAGAGCCATCAATAATTAGCCACACTAAATAGCATCCGTTGATGAATGACCTCATTTGTATAAAGTGGCAAATTTTTTCATCGGAAACAGTGGTTGAAACCCATATTGTTTGAGGCACCACAGCTACTTTGATAATTAACTTCAATGAATATCCGAGCTTTGTGAAGTACCACTCACATTACTGGAGGTGTACGAGAAAGCAGTGGGTGGATTCTCAAGGTGTTCAACAATAAGCAGAAAATCTAGGAGGACGTAAGTGGACTTAGTTTTGTACCAAAGGAAAACGGTGACAGACTGGGGACCCATGTGGTCATCGATCCAGAGTGTTTCATCGAAATGTTACTTCTTTTCAGATTGTACGTGTCGTTCTGTGTAACCCGATTTACCCCCGACCGGTTTGGTTCCCCTTCTAATAAACAACTTATTTCGGTACTAGTGATGTGAAATACTGACACCAGAAGTTAACCTGTACACTTTTGATAACCTCAGACTATGACAACATTTTCTAATCCTTTTGTAGGTAACATTATCCTAATGACAAACCTATTATTCTGCACTGCAACCTGATTACTATGTTCGACGTTCCCAACTGACAGCTCCAATCAAGACCAAAAACAAAACATGTTATGATATCTATGGTCAAACCATCCAAATGCCTCTATGATTCTGTTGGGAGTAAAAGCATGAAAAGCAATTGACTTTGAAAATCAATCAGACTGGGTCGAACAAACTTGTTTTTGATGGCGAACCGTGAACGCCTGTGCAACAAAATATCAGTTCCCAGTCAAATTATTTATTGTGGGGTGTGGAGAGGAGTTCATTATAGAGTACTGAGAGTTCTGGCTATCCTGGAACCCAAATCAAGATTCAAAATATTTGAATTCCGAGGAGAACAGAAGCTACAGATTTAATCTGGTCTCCTGATTAGTTTCTCTCTGTTTCGTATCTCACACTTCTCTCTCTTTGCACACTATCAGCAACCAATCATCGTAGACGTTGTGTGGAACTGATGAAACAAGCCGAATCGTACGAACCGTGGTTCGGGATTGAACAGGAGTATGCCCTGATGGACATAGATGGGTATCCCATGCAATGGCCAAAATCCGGCTTCCCTCAACCACAGGGACCGTACTATTGCTCGGTTGGAGCGGATCGTGCTCTTGGTCGGGATATCCCGGAAGCTCATTACCGCGCTTGTATGTACGCCGGTGTGAAAATTTGTGGTACCAATGCTGAAGTGATGCCATCACAAGTAGGTTGACTGTGTGTAGTATTTATGTGTATGGCGATCACTTAGAACTGTAAAAGCATATTGCGATAGCGACAGAAGCACATCGCACTCATTAAACGGTAGCATCGATCTTTCTCGAATTTGTTGGTTATGCCAAGCACATTTTCAGAATTTATTTTCATCAATCAATAATTATTACGTGAATGGTCGCGGTAATGGATCTTTAAACGTTAACCATATCCACGACTGATTACCCATCAACGGTCCCGTCCAGCTGGATAAATTTTGGATCAGATGTTTCACCGTTGGAAACTCCGGATGTTCCCGTTATCCTACCAGCGTGTTCTGCTGAGAAATCAGTCCTGGTCCAGGTACCTTTAACAGAAAATATAACTGTGTTGTTTAAATTGGGAAATAAAAGAGAGTCCTCGGTTCGTAATGGTTTCCGTTTTTTTGAATTAAATTACAGTCATGGAACATTCCACACTACAGATTTTTTGAAGATTTAACTCACCCATCTTCATTGATTCCAAACTTGAATGGGCGCATACGATCCCAGAACCAAATATCCTTACCCTGCAGACAACGGACCATAGAGATTAGCTACTCAATTTCAAAATTTCAGTCCCCAATTTGTACAGAGCTTTAGGCTCAACAAACAGCGGAACGGTTTCTGCATCCATATATATATATATACATATAAATTCCCCATACAATTCTTCGAAAATTGAAGGGAAATCAAATGTCTCCAATCAAATACAGTCAAACTGACTGACTGACTGACTGACTGACTGACTGACTGACTGCAGCTGACTGACTGACTGACTGACTGACTGACCGACTGAGCGACCTGCAGACGACTGCACAGTCCAGTTGAAACTGGTACTCTCTTGACAAGCCTTGGATAATCAACTTTTTGTTTGTCTATTATTTTCGTATCGTATGTCAAACGCCTTCGTAATATTTTGACCTAGTAGCCTTGTAAAAACTGATTTTTCAAACAGTGGGAATTTCAAATTGGTCCATGTGAAGGCGTTCTGTTGGCAGATCATCTCTGGATGGCCCGATTCTTGTTACATCGTGTTGCAGAGGATTTTGGTGTTGTGGTAACGTTTGATCCAAAACCGATGCCTGGCGACTGGAACGGTTCGGGGGCTCATACGAACTTTTCGACTGCTGCTATGAGATGTCCCCAAAGTGGTTTGAAGTAAGCCTCACATAGCAGTGCTTGAGACTGCACTTCTATTACTTGAATGCATATACAGGTTACTAATGGAGAATTCTGACTCTTTTTCGTAACAAAATGTGGATAAATTTACCCCACAGATTTGGTTTTTGTACTGATATGCTGCCCTGTTTGATGAAGGTAACGGTAAAGACTTCCAAATCTCTTCCGTTGTGGTTGTGATAGGTCAGCTTGTAAGATGAATTTGTGTTATTTATTTATTCTAAAACTGCTTGAATATAGTTTACTGTTATCTTTTTCAGTATTTTTAAGAGTAAATATAACTGATCAACTTTTGACATAACAGATCGGTCCTTTTCCATCTTCCTGTCAATCAAGTCAAGTTAAGTCAAATTAAGCTTTATGCACTCGTAGAGTGATTTTTCAGCGATATGAATTTCAATGAATTTCTCTAATTTAGCTTTTTGGTCGTGACAGCATGGAAGTTTGAACTCTCGCCAATTAATTCACAATATTTTGAAAGCATATCTCGTCCATACCAATAACTGGGATTTTTTTATAACAAAACGGTATTTAATTAAAAGCTTCTCGGTGGAAAAACTGCCTAAATTCCAGGACTAAGCGACAAACTCTTTAAGGTATTTTTCATGAAAAATGCACCCACCCTTATTCCTGTCAATCCAGTTCCATCAAAGTGAATTCAGTTGTCTATCACAAATTGCTAATACTGTCACCGAATGGAATTTAGTTTGCACAAAATGATAGATTTTCAACAAAAATGAAAGTTCCTACTATATTGTAAATATATTTATGCTTGTTTGATTTCCTTTTGGCAGAGCGATTGAACAAGCTGTAGAAAAACTATCCAAACGTCATGCGGAGCATCTGAAAGTCTATGATCCCAGACATGGTGAAGACAACTCCCGTCGTTTGACGGGGTTGCATGAGACTAGTAGTATCCATGGCTTCTCATCAGGTAAATGAAAAAACATGGTTTTCAGAATGTTTCCTTGAGTAACTTTCATCACACCAACCTTTATACATATGGTACTGATAATGTACGTCCGGTCTTTGTCATCTGTAAGTTTATGATGAATATTTGCCTTACAATTACTTGTGAGTAGGGGTTTGGAATCATTTACCTTGATCCCTTAGTATTCATCTTCAAGAACGATCTTCAGTTCATCCAGTCAATCATACACTCGAAAGCATTAGACTCAAAGCCCGGGCCGAAGGGTATATATGCACTACTAATGGGCTATAAGAAGAGTAAATAATAATAACAATAATAATAATAATAATAATAATGAAAAAGTGCTTCCCAAGTGCATCACTGGCCGGGTGAAATGAGGATTGTGAATGTGTGGAGATGAATTATGAAAGATGGTCAGTTCAAGTAAATGTTCATTGATATAATGAACCTGATCGTCTTGTTTTTGATGCCGTTATCCCCAAAACCATTTTGGGCATCATACCAAACACTACCAGTTCACAAGCTATTGTCAACCGGATCATAGGGCGCGTGGTTACTTAAATCTTTTCGAGAAAAAAGTTATCCGGACAATTTGTTCAATTAAAACTGTTATTCCCACCGATTAGGACGTTATTATGTTGCCACGTCCTCCGCATATCGTGTCAAGATTTCTGGGTATCGATCAATCAGAGGAAATTTGCATCGAAATTTCATTCTTCCCTGTGAGCGATTGAAAAGCTTTCTGCAAGGTTTATCTTGTACCTTTTTGAATAAGTTCTGATATGGTCAAGGTAAAGTGTGTAAACCCTCGTGAATTAGTGTGGTATAAACATCGAATTATGCTATACCAGGCTTCATGGAATATACGATGACTTAAGACAAGCACAGCTTTTGATTTCAGTCTCCAGATTCTGAGCTCCTTCGTTCAACTGTCTCTGTTCATCTAACTGAAAAACCTTCTGTTATAAGTCATCCGCATTTCTGCAACTTGTGGATTCATTTCCACAGATTATTTTACCTTCACGGTTTGACTAACCTAAATTGTCAACTTTTTCGTTAGTTCTTTTATTATTATAAAATATCTGTAGGTACTATACAGCATATTTGCAGTTAGCTTTGTTGTCCAACAGACGGTTCGTTTAGACCAAGAGTTGTCTCGTTGCCGATTCGATCAAGTGATTGTATTGTTCGTGTCGCATTATTTGCGCTTCATTTAGTTATTCAGTCATCATTCCGGTACTCTGCTGCCATCACCATGATCCTATATGAGAAGGACTATAACAAACCCTATCAAGTGGATCGCTAAACCCAATTCTCCGAATCAACAGAATTCATCCTACAGACAGAACAGCTGTACGAACTATAGGATGTCATAAAATACAACCACAGATATAATAACGGTGTAGTTTTCATATTCGAAGCCTTACTGATGAAATAATTTGGTTTCATTCGCTCCAGCCCCGAACAGACAGGGATCAGCTGAGAAGTCCAGAAACGTTCGATTCCGTACGCACAGATCATAACGGTCCACAGATATCCTGCTATAACTGGTTCGATATTGAATTGTAGAACGTACAAAAGATATCACAGATGAATGACGTAAGACATTTGGGTGAAACAGCAAGCCACTGTGCCCAACACATTGTGCGAAATGTGTACCAGAATAGCCCTTGAATTTCATTAATGCGCGAGCAAACAGCGAAGAAAAACAGAGCTGCTTGCGATAGCTAAAAGCACTTTGTTGATATCGATATTTTTTATAACCAAGTTTTTACTTTTCATGTATCCAGTCAAAAAAGGCAACGAATGATTTCTTGTACTCCCTACAGAATATTCGTGTTTCATACGTATCATTTGCCCTCATAAGATTTCACCTAGGAACTTTGGCAAGTTCCGAGCTGAACAACGAACTCGGTGGAAAAACTACTACTAATCTGCGAAAAAACATCCACAACAGTAAGATCATGTGATCGTTCACTCAGTAAACGCATTACCCATAGAGATCACGTGCTTATCACCTGTCGTCTTCCCGCTTAATTATCACAGGAGTTGCAAATCGAGGAAGCAGTATCCGAATTCCACGTCAGGTGGCCGAGGATCGGTGCGGTTATTTGGAGGATCGTCGACCTTCAGCGAATTGTGATCCGTATCAGGTGATTGGCATGCTAGTACAGACTGTTTGTTTGGAATGATTACCACAGGTGACTTAATATTATAAAAAGAAAATGAATGTTGTTAAATATATTCTTATATCTTAAATATTATACTGTTTTTGTACGGCGGGAGAGTTAAAATGGGTATTCAATTCCCGTGTTCATCTAGATGGGTCTACTCTGCCCAGTTTTGATACATTAGTGGGCCATGCGGAAACGTGATGCAACTGCTTTTGCATTCCTGTTGTATGGTTTGATAAAAAGCTCTTTCGTTACATTTCAGCAGTAAAACTAAGGTGAAACACCACTGCAGAGAATAGGAGAGCAAAAAAGGAAAAATGACAACGGAACAGGGGAAATTGAAATGTTCATTTTACACCCAGTAGCCACTCTCGCTTTATCGGTTAGAATATGGGCCTAATATACAATAAGGGCGTATATATATAAATATATATATAAAGGTATTCCCGAAGAAACTTCTTTTCGATATGTCGCATCAGGTGTTTACATATATAAGGTGATCATAGTACAGATGCCTGATTAGCCGATTAAAGCTGTTGGTAACGGTGACAGAGGTGAACAAACAGAGTAAGCGATTGTGACAAAGCTTGTGATTGCGGTGATGGGGGTGAGAAGACAAAGGTCAAACGGATAACGTTAGAGAGATGAGCAAATTAAAATGAAGTTTGTAAGCTAATACCAGAGAGCGGGATGAAGTTACGTAATATACGGTCGAAAGTAGATGTCATACATAGCAATTGATGTAATTGGGAAGGAATATCAGAGACAAAAACAAAATAATTAGTTCTTAAGATTGAGGTTGATGATACTGGATATATATATCCCACAACTAAAGTATGAAATTTCATAGTTACTTTTTCGTTCCCATATGCACCGTCGTTATCATCATCATTTTTGAGGACTCATCGATAGAACGAAAGGGTGGAACAGGACGTTCCATCAAGTTTTCTTTTGTTTTGGTGACAAACCATGATTTACATTAGCATACCTTTTATTGATCCTATATTAGCCGAGTGTACCTGCCGTTCCTGTTCGGAATTTCCACGCACCGTCTAGACACACGAAGTACGTGGTTTTGCATAAACCGTGTATGTATCAAATGCCAGTGTTTTAGTCAAGGTTGCTTGTTTGCTTGCTGTTTTTATGTGGTGTAAACTCTCGGATCTTGTTACAAACTTTGGGTGAGATTAGTCTAAATGGTTTATATTGTATTCAGTTATGGGTCTCACGGACTCCGCGACACTATTTTGAGGAAATGCAACCATCGATATTATTTTACCTGCTGAGAATTCGTAACTGCAGCTTCATCGTTCTCACAACGGCCTCTTTGGGCGCATTTAGTTCCACTTCTGGAGGAAGGTGCCGCCCTAATTTACGTGTACTAAACATTGGAATCCTGTATCGCAGCTGGTTTGCTTAGTTCGTTTGGGTTGGTAATGAAGAAGGCACTCCGGTAAAATCACAGAAATTCCCTTGTGCATCCGCTAGCTAAAGCACCATCCTTTGTTCCGCAGATCATGTCAGTAATTGTTTTCCTCTCGGTTGACTCCGCGGTTAATTCAAACGCAGTGTTTGCTGCGCATAACAGTTAAGGCGCAGCTAGTCGTAGTCGTTTTGACTTTGACGATAGCTCAGTCACCAAAGTTTACCACAGTAACTAAGATCAGGGACGAGTTCACTGCTTCTGACGTATTCCGAGCGAATCAATTTTGATTCGTTCGATCACGGGCCTATTAGGGTAGCCAGATTTGCTGAAAGGCCTAGATCTGAGTTATTGGGACGAGTTTTGTGACTGGACTGTGTCACTTAATGATCTAACGACCACAGCCACTTACGCCTCAACTTCGGCTCGTTCATTCAGAACTCAAAACAAAATGGAGTTGATTCCTTTGTTAAAAAGAGCCATTTGAAAAGTTAAAAGTGGATGCTACTTGTTAGAAGTGGTATTATAAAGCATGATGGGTGGTGGTGGCGCAGTCGTTTAGTTGCTGTCACCGAGGTGGTAGTCTGAGGTTAGAACTCCGACACCGCCACCCTACCTTGGTGGTAGACAGCTTTGCTGTCGTCCGGTTCAATACTACGCCTGACCTAGTGGGGCCTTATGTGGTTCACCAGTTCATGTCCTGGGGCTTAGGTTACCGGTTTACACCACGGAACAATAAGTGCTCGTGACTATGGGGTTCGCCCCGTAACCCCCAAACTCGATCGCCACCCCACATCCCTCTGACGATAGTGTGTCTCTGGAAAAGGATGGTCAACCCCTTTTTTCTGACATACGGTTGGTAACGAAATATAAGTTACACATATCAGTTTTTGCAAGATTCCGATAGCAGTATTTGGTCTGACTGACAGAAAGTGACCCGAGGTTTCGAGAAACATGCAAAACGTTCAAGCGTCGCAATCCGCTAAAGCGAAAATCGGCTCCTCCTTGAACCCTAATAAAGTGTAAAGAGCCTTTCTTTTAAACCGGAATGGCTCAGTGGGGGTTGAGGAACTGGCGGTAGCGGAACAATGAAAGAGTAGACTTGAATCTTGCTGAATAACTCAGATATCCAGGTTGCCCAGAAACAGAACAGAATAGTGAGCACATGGGGATGTTGAAATTTAGACCGTGCCACTTTAAATCCGTTAGTGGCAATACCACGTACGAATTCAACATCCTTTGCTCGAGCACATCCAAAAAAATCCGTTTGCTAGCAATGCAGAAAACACGTCCTTATTTCTCGCATAATACGTGAATGTCACAATCAGGTAGACCGATTAGACTGTTTGGATGTAATTGCTCGTTAATGTTCATTTTCCAATCAGCATCGACCGATATCAAAGATTCGAATAATTTTGCACATACCGTTTGAACTTGGTCCCTCGAGTTGAGTTGGGATTGCCATAGAGACCAGCTCAACAGACACAGGGATGGGCAGTCCGTAAGTGGATTCAAGGACGAAAAAGGGGGTGAGATACGGTCAATTTCACGTGACTTTTGCCAAAGCTATGGGGTTAAGGAATGCCTCACATTTCAGAGGCGAGTCTTAAAGGTTATCAAACCACGAGGGGGGTGGGGAAGTGAAGATGAAATTCGGGGATTGTGAAAGATTACATCATGGACAATTCCAAGCATGGAACAAATATTTGTATCTTGCGTTTCATCGCCTAAAGAATTGACTTCTTGGTGGAAGTTCGAACGTCTTCAGTACAAAATTCACTGGTTTCCAGTTGGATTTTAATTTGTTTAACAGGAAAGCAAATTCATTTTTTATGTAGGCAAAAGTATCGTCTAAGTATCACCCACTAACTCGAAGGTTCGCGTTTCGAGTCCCAGCAGGAAATCAAAGATGGCACGCACGGATGATCATGACAAAACAGCTGTCCAGTATTCTTAGTCAGTCTTACCACAGACCTGTGGATTTCATCTACCTTAGTGTGGGTACAAATGAACTCATAACATGTTAGAGAGAGACACACAGACAGCGACGAAAATATTCATACCTTGTGATTATAAATTCTTATGGGATAAAGTAGACCTAGTTTCACTTGTGCAAGCTTGGTCTACAGAACAAAGAAATAGTGATCGAATGTGAACACGCTTATTTTTTCTCGGGATTCGGGCATATGGGGCGTTCTCAAACGGATACTCAGACTCTACAGCTTGTTTCACTTGGATCAGCCAGAAAAACAACAACGATAAGAGAGCGCTGTCTCACATATACACCTGGTTTTCAAAACCCCATGTGTAGTCTGAAGCATCCAGGCGATTCAAACGAAATCTAACGGGTTTCACACGCTCGGTTTCCCCTGACGGTTTGGTGTGAATAGTGTTATTTGCAAAACATCTGGCAATGTCTCGCTCGCCCTCTCTCTCACACACACGTCACACACACACACACACACACACAAAACCCCACTCCCATAAATACATAAAAAACATGACTACTATCAGGACCACCAAAGGTAACAACAGCAGCAACAACAACAAAAAATAACAATAAGAAATACCACGAACCTAAACATCGAGGGCATAGACTGTGTTCGCAGGGAGTCCGGTCAAAACAACGCGCTATTTCGACAAAACCGCCCACAGTCAAGGGTATATGGTCTTTGTGTAACCACAGCTAGCTCAAGTAAGCAAGAGATGATTTGAGCGGTGTTAAAGAAAAAAAAAACGGCAGTTCAAGCATACATGTCAAAATTCGAAATGACATGGTCCATATCCACTAAAGAATGAAGGACGAGATTAATCCTTTACAGTGTAATTGCTCCGTCATTTATTATTTATTTATTTATTACATTCCTTCTGGCCCTCTCCGTAATTTGATTGGATCGATTCTGGTGATCTTCGCAACTCGGAATCCCTAGACCTGACATGAGACTGTCTGGTCACCTGCTCGGAATTTTTGTGTTGCTCTTATTACCAGTAGTGGGATGATGGCATTCCGGTTGCGCACAGTTGAAATATACTGCGTATACGAATGATTCTAGGCTGTGCACAAGGTGTGATATCGCTCGGGTCCGCTAGGCACGCTCCGTGCAGCAGCTGAACCATCCGACCGATCGTGTGCTTGTAGCTAGTCAAACGTTCGTAGAGAATTCCCACATGATAATCAGTTATGGAGCGATAAACCATCCATACACCGTTTAACATCTCGTGAACTCATTGTTTATTTCAGTGGATTGCGTCCTAACTCCAACTGAATCCATCGACCGACATATGTCTCTCTTTGGATCGAGTGTTTCACGACTCTCAACTATACCGAATGAATTGTTTTCTCCATAAACAAACAAAAGCACTTTTCGATTGGTCACCGAATGAGAATGAGGAGGATCTTGGGGGTGGGAGTGCGGTTTGACTGTCCCTTCACCACGGAACGCTGTGCCCTTCATCGTGGATTGAAGGCGTTTTGGGGGAGAATGAGTGAATCCTGTAGCAGATGACCCGGAGATCGATCACGTAACCAAGCAAGGAGTGACACGATTGATCGTTAATCCGATGACCACACCCAAGTGTGAATGAACCGTCGCGT